AGCTGTAGCATGCGAGACCTTTGAAGGCTCAGAAGTTCAAAATATGTAAAAAGATCAAAAATTTATGTTCCACTTTGCTAGATCAGAAGATGATGAGATAACTACCTCTTTTCAGATAACTACCTCTTTTCAGATAATAAAGGGTTTTCTTTTTCTTCAACTCTTCCCAGCACATTCTTCTAAACCGTCCATAAAACAAGAAAACAGAAAGGAAAAAATCAAAAACTCAGGAAGAATGAGAACAAGCCATTCAGACAAAACTGTTATGAGAAGATAGAAGCAGCTATCAAAAGAAACTGAGAAGGACTTTGAAAACCTCAGTAAACTTTTTTCTTAGACCTATTTCTTTTTCTAAGACCTATTTCTTAAAAACAACAACAAAAATGCTGCTGAAACTCTGTGTGAGTGCGCAAGCTGTGCTACGGGGAGCTGACACTTCAGCTGTCAGCATGACATTGGAAAAAAATGTCAGTGTTTATAAAGAAAATAAAGTTATAAAGAAGAAAATAGAAACAAGGCTTCCCATGCAGCCGTTCGCATTGTTTGCCGAGACACGAGGCTAAAGCCTCTAGTCCAAAATCTTGCCCTCCACATTAACGTGATCCTTTAATAAGGCTCCCCCCCACACTCACTCCTTTTAAAACTGTTTTAAAAATCAATCTCAAGAAGACAAAAGAACAACGTCTCTTGTGATCCGGTATTCTTGTCTAGTTGGACAAGCTCTTTTACTGATTTAACTGCAGTAGACAGGAAGTTTACCTACTTCTCACAAAAAGCATTTTCAGGTTAAAACCTACCTGTTTTGGGTTTGGGTTTCTTTTCTGATCAACTTTGTTGTCATTGTTTTTGACAAAAGTGCATCCACAATAGCATTCTGGTCAGCAATCAGCTATAACAAAACACTCAAAATAATAAAACAACAGTAGAAAAAGAGGAATGATCCCATATATCAAAAATTCACTTTACTGCCAAGAAAATATCAGGACTTCAAGCCTTTAACTAGATCTCAGAGCCTATGCAATTCCATAGTCCTTCATTGCTTGTGAAGTCTTGCCTGTGAAGGAACATCTTCTATTTCCCATGATGAGGCTGGAAGCCAACAAATTTTTGCTCTTCAGCTTAATCAAACATTTTTATTTCCTCCTTACCTCCCCCCCCCAGCCCAGGATCTAATGAAATAGAGAAAACAAACCCAAGGGTGGAGATCAGAATCTTGCTAAGGTAAAAATAATGAATTTCTTCCAATTTGGAGGTTTCAGTGAAAATATAAAGCAGCAAGCCAGCAGCACATAAAACATCACTCTCTATCACAGTCTAGTACAAATGTATTTCTTATTCTCATATACAGGATAGGTCACATGGACAATAAATGGGAAGTTCTGCAATGGCTTTTAAAGTCCCACTGCTCTACACATGTGGTTTTTAGGGCAATTCTGAAGATCCTCATAGGGATCAGGCAAGTCCACCACCTCCAACAATGGCAGCTGAGCATCAGTTTTAGGACTGACCCTGTGGGCTTCTCAGGACAGGCAGTGTGCGGAACGAGGCGGCTACCAGGAGCTATCTAGTGGCAGGGCTGGAGGGTCAGCAAAGATATGAGCTAATTGGTTTGATGACTTAAATGGAGGCACAACTTTAGTTACAGGGGTAGGAATGATGGCCCCAGTTCAGTAAAGCGCTTAAATACACACTTTGCTTGAAATATAAATAGTCCTGATACAGAAGTTACGGTTTCGCTTAAGGCCTTTGCTGATGCAAAGCCTACAAGCTCAATTACAGAGGCACTTTGAAAAAAACAACCGTACGAGCCCTGGAGATGACTTTCACAATGTTTTTGAAAGTATCAATATTTTGAAAATGAAGTTCATGGAGAATTTTAGAGCCTGAGGATATCTTTACAGAAATGCAGTTTGAACATCTTGAAAGTGGCTAATAATTTCGACATGCATCTCAGTTTTTCGACATGCATCTCAGCTTTTATTGGACTTCTTATGAAGCCTTGGTTTAAAGACTGTAGGTTATTAAGAGCCATCATATTTTTACTGATGAAATTATTAAAAGATGCCTCTTAGTCTAGCCTAAGCTTGCAGTCATTGATTAAACTCTGGGTACCACTGAAGGATACATAATAAAGTGGGGAAAAACTGGTAGCCTGGGGTTGTGGTCCTAATTGCATGCTTACACTTGCATTTCTGTAGCTTTTAACTTGATGACATTTTAAATGGAGTGATTAATCGGCCTTTACTTTGTTATTTGCAATGTACACATTTAACGCTGCAGGCCAGATAAACTAGCCAACATAAATTAGCCACCTTATTGGCAGGTTTATACCACTAGAGCATCTGGTACTCCCTGAATTAATTTGTACTGTAGACAGGAACTGAGTACAAGTCTTCTTTTAAATTCATGTGAAAAACAGGAATATTCGTATTTTTCATTCGACTTAACTCTCTGTCTAGTTGTGTTTTTCTTAAACAGGTTCTCCAAATCCAAAGTGACACGAAGCGTGGGACTTACCTCTGGGAGTCATGCGCACTCAGCCCTCCTCGCAGACTAGCATTTGCCGTGCGGCACAATGGAGTTTCGTTCATCAGGCTCTGTGCTGCTTGCCACGGGAAAGCACTTGGCACCACTGCAGTTTTTTTCAGCTAGGACATCTGCAGAAACTGGGTTTGTGCAGCAGATAAAGCAGCTTGCCATTTCTTGGCCTGCCAGGTCCTTTCATAGAAGTGGCACACGGGAAATAATGCTCTACAGTTATGTAAAGTTCATTTTTTAAAACTCTTCAGCATTAATTCTTCATCGTATTACATTGCAATGAGGCAGGAGGGGGAGAGGGCCAAGGGAGAAGGACAGACAGAAAAGACCTTCTGGTTTTGAAGTGAGATTTAGGGTCAAAGTTCTCAGGTCACTATGAAAACCAGCAATACCGTGCCCAATTTCTGCCTCTCTACAGTACTCACATGGGCCACGAGGGTAAATGCAACCACTTAAAGTTACCAATTTTCCGTTAACATGCGCAGCAACATCAAACTCCAGTTGCTCAGCTCACCGTAGCAACCCAGCAAGCACTCAACCTCTGCTTTCTGATTCAGGAAGCACGAGTAAAGCCAAACAGCAGGGTGAAGGAGGGAGGGAGCACGCGGCCTCGTGGTCGGGAGGATGATACGTGCACAGAAAGACCCTGGGAGAAATCGGAGAGGTGCAATACAAGCACAGGGCACGGTAAGGATCACGAGGCCGGGTCCCTGTCGGTGATGAAGCACGGATGAAGTTAGTGCTCCAGTGGGGAAGCAGATGTGGGAGACTGGGAACAGCCGGGACACGGTGCAAAACCAGTCTGGGAATCAACAAGTTTGATTGGAAAGCTTAGCTTAAAAATCTGGTTCCCAATTTAGGGTATTAAGACACCTAACTTAGAGTCAGATATATCCAAAGACATTGAAGTCTACCCTGCTGATAATAAGGCTCCAGTGGTTTAGAAATTTTACCCTAAGTTTTCACTGAAATGAATCACAATAAAAATACTCTCAAAATTTAAATAATCCATTCCATTCAGGTTTGGTTTTTTCCTTCCCACCCTCCCCCCTGCTTTTCTTTTTTTTTTTTTTTTTTTTTAAATTAGAAATGCTTATTGCAGCAAGCTAAGCTTAGTAATGGAACCCAATTACCTTTATTCATCATATTAAATGTATAACACTACTGTTCCTATAATTTAGGTCACGAAATAAAAGTGTCACCAGTGTTGTTACTTTAGGTTTTAATAATCATTTTCTACAACATGAAATAGTTTGATTACCAAGACCTACCGCTGGTCAACGATGGCAACTCACAAATAATACTTCACGCTCCTAACAAATGGCACACCAAACTTACCTTTCAGTATGCATTTTAATAACTGGAAGTTGTTCGATTACGATTTTTATACAACCAATTATACATTAACATGTACATGGAGTCAATTCCAGTCACAGTGTAAATATATTTTTGGATCCGCAGCAATATAAAATGACTTCTACCTGTATATACATGTGCAAGTCTGAGTGAGTCCTGAGTAATTTTAAAGTACTACTTGTCAAATCCTGTAAATTTTAACCAATGCAAATAAAACTCAGGTTTTACAGTGTTATACTATTGTGAAGAAGCTCTTTTTCAAAAAGAGAAATATAGCACTTTGCATTAGCTTTATGCATAGCTACGAGCTCTGTACAGTGCACAGTATCCACTTACAGTCCGGGTAATTAGAAAATCTGAAAAGATGCTGACTACATTCTTCAGTAACTATTGCTTCCTCTGCTTCTTAATTAACGGCGAGTGATTCGTTCTGCTTCAAAACAACCAACTGTGGAAGACTTTTACGGGGTTTAAATTACATTCTTTCTGCTGCATATATTTTGTAAACATTCAAGTTACCCAGGCCCTTTAATTCTTCTGAGGAAAACTATACAATGATACAGTCAAATCATTAAAATGTGTGTCCGGGAGGGAAAAAAACAACAGTGGAGTACGAGCATTACCTTAAACACCACAATATGCTATAAGGAAACAAAAGAGGAAGTGTTCTTTAAGGAACAGCTTGGACAGAAACCGAAAGGCTGCTCAGAAACCCTCTGTCAGCATGACACACTGCCACGGTAAACACGAGATGCTCTCGCATCACCAGAACAAATTGTCTGAGCAAATGCAAAGGAAGCACTGCCGCTAAGGAGCGGATCCAAACACAGCACGAGCGTCAGAATCTTTGTACAGTATTAACAGAGCAACTTAGATAAAAGTATCTGTAAACCCCATGCCAGGAAAATGCAGGCACTAATATGAGAACTGGTAAAGAGCACAGGCTAGCGCTGGGGTACAGCGGTCTTTAACTGGAGGCGTTTTGATGCAACTTCCCAGGTATGGAGGAAGATACCTTTTTTCCTTCCTCCCATTTCTCTCGCACCGCAAAAGCGAAGGCACCGTTCTGACTGTGCTCCTCTGGCATAAAGGTCTTGGCACAAAAGTTAGCTGGTCCCGTGGCTGCTATAGTCAAAAACGCCTTTCCTGAAGAAGGGTGAGAATTCGCAGATGGTGTGTTTTGACAGAGTTAGCCCCACTTTATCAATGTGCAGCGGAGACGATGGAGATTTCAGCATCGCAGAGAAAAAGCTCCTGAGGTACTTCTGTGGAATGATATGCAAAATGTCATAAGGTTTACTTGATCAAATTGATTACAACCAGTTTGAAGAATTAAATGAACAGTGGTATTAAAAAAAAAAAAAAACCAAGATCTTTACAGACTGTGAAAAGCCCTTTTAATAACTACCAGCATTTAAATCCATCCATAAAACAGGTCTACTGAAATGTCTGTATTAAGCTCAGGAAAAGCAGAAAAGAAGTATTTTCCACTTTCTTCCCCTGCCAAGCTTGGTAACTGTTTTATTCTGTCCTTGTGTGACGCTTTCTGGTTTATTCTGTAGTCATGTAATGCTTTCTGCTAATCATGACCTGCTAAGACTGCCATCTAGCATTACCAAACACTATAGCAGCTGCAAACCTCAAATCCATTCTGCAGGAATTTCACTACATATGGACACAAAAGGACTTCAGAAATCTTTCCCTCGTCAAGCCTCCACAATCCTTGCATCTAAAAGGATTTGTTATGATCAAGGCCATCTGCACAAAGATTGCATGACTTCCATATTATCTCAGAACCTACCAGCATCTTTTCACTGAGCTGCCCTCTAAATTTCTTTTTTTTTTTTTGTCTTACACATAAGAAGCACTCCCCTTCCCAAAAGTTAATATCTACCAACCGCTATGCAACTTGCATCTATTTGTACTTAGAAAAATTGTGACGGATGTAGATTAATACAAATTTAGTCTTCACAAACCTGATGAAGTTTCCTTCACACATGGGTTGAACTATTACTATCATTTAGCATGATGTAATAAGTCGTATTTATAAATTTTGAATGAAACACAATAGGTAAAATGTTGATCAGGCAGGTATTAAAAAAAAAAAAAAGTACCTATTGTCACCCAAATAGTTCTAAGAGAGATCTCATATGGAGCACAGGGATAAACTCCTTTGTTCTGCTACAGACCGACCACACGAAAAGATGAGTTAACTTGAGAAATTATCCCACTGGATGCAGTGGGAAATATATCTGCAAGACAGAACAGCACTATCTCCTGTGCTTTTGGGTCATGGAAGCGGTTCGTTCAGGAAACAGTCCTCATTATTCACTCTCTCCTCAAGGAGAATTCCTCCATACTATAACAACCTGTTATCTGTTTAAGTGCCTTGGAAACCAGCTGTATTAATATCACAGAAAGCAGGACAACAAAAAAACAACAACAAAAAAAGCAGCTGGCACATAAGCTATTCTCTTGGCAGGATTGGGGGATTTTCTGTTTTATTCAGATCTCCCACAGGTTGTATTAATGTTCATGAAAAAAAATTTCATTACAAAAATGCCTTCAAGATTAATTCCAACAGACTAAGAGGTAATTTAAACTGAGCAACAGATGTCATATCAACATTTGTCATAATTAGTTCACAAAGTAGGGCCCTTTAAAAAAAGTCCCAATCCAGTAATGCCTGAAGGATGAATATGGTAGAAAATCAAATGTAAAACATGGCATCCTGTTAGAGTTTTAGCACTGTGCTGAAAAGATACTGCAGTAATTCCGGTTTACGACTACCGAAGGCTCAAAGGTACCAAATTTTTCACCGGAGACATTACAAGACCTATTGCCTTCACCTTGGTACGTATGGCCAGATAACTGACTGTCATGCCTTTCCTGCAGAGCCATTATTCATTGTTTTGGCATGATCGCTCCAATGGCAGAGTAAAAAAAAAAAAAAAAAAAAATCCCTCTGCTAGAAGCATATACTTATCTGACAGGGAAACACTAGGAACAGCAGACAGACTTATTTTCCCAGATCTGCACGCAGGAGTTGCTCAGTGAATATCACGGATTCTTTGAACGTGAAGATGATCCTTGGGAAAATGGCAACAAGCATACCCTACTAGATTATGATGGAATTCATTTTATATGAAGGTTTGCAGCCATATGGCTTGGCATTATGTGCTCTTCAACAACTACCTCTGAGAAAATTAGCCCTCTTATAAATCCCGTATCTGCATTTGCCCTTGTTTGCAAAGCTGATGCATTAGCACAGCACAGAGCTGATGTGCCCTTGACACAAAGAAGCTGCTGCTTCAATGAAGTTAAGGCTTCTCTGCCCAGATATGTTGGCTAGGAGTTAAGTCCCATAGCGAGGGAAACAATGATTGACAGCAGAAGAGTGTGCTCACACCACAAGCGTACGCCTCGATTAAAGAGCTGTGGCTAGGCAGTAAGGGGGAAGGTTGCCCTGTCCTGCTGGCTGCAATGTGGATGATGAAGTGGAAGGAAGTGGAAGGAGAAAAGGAAGAGTGGTCCTTATCAGTGTGTGGAAAGATGCTTCCCAAATTCGGATGGGACAGGGAGAGGATGAGGGTCACAGCAAGCTGGAGCAGAGGAGGACATCGACACCAAGCACCAGAGATGACATAAAGAAAACTTTCTTAGAGATCCCAGAAGGGACTCGGCATGGAGTTTGTTGCAACCCAGGAAGCCACTTGCAAGCTGCTGGGGTGGGAGCAAAGCTAGATGAAAGGATCTCCTCCGTCAGGACCCGGTGGGCAGAGGGAGAGTTGTTTTCAAAGCTTTTCTATTAAATCCATTTCCAGCAGCAGATACGATTTTTCTCTATTTACAGAATAATGTTATTTGTGCTGAGTTAAAACTCGGTGGGAAGCACTCTGGTATCTTTTGATATGCTCCCATTAAAAAAAAAAAAAGAGGTCTTAGCAGGCACTGGCAAAATGCTAAATACACGTGCAAATGTTATACAAAGCTGTGCTGTGACTTCCTACCAGCATTTCATCGAGAGCATCTAAACCATTGCCTCTAGTATGCAAAGCACATTACAGCAATCCTACTTTCGCTAGGTTTGTATGATTACCTTGGAAAGAAGAAACTAGATAACTGCTATAAATGTTCCAAAAGGCTTGTTTTCATCACTCGTTTTCGTTTGTTAGCCTTTCAGAACTCTAGTCATTTGTTCTGGATTATTTAGTCTGGTAATCAATGTTCTTCTGCATGCACTTAGAAGTTTCATTTCACTAATAGTGTTCAACCTGCTACGTTGCTGGTTTGCTGAAAAATATCCTAATTATAAATTTGTAAATACTGCAGTGTGAGGGCACAGGACCCTGGCGCTGCAACAGGGATGTAAAATGGGTAACTTACACACCAGTCGTGTTGGTTGCTCGGTCTAAACACATGGTCAGGAACACTAGTTTAGAGAACAGAAATACTCTTGGCATGTACAAAACTCTTAAAGATTGAAAGCCAGGTTAAAAAAAAATAAAAATATCCAAAATAGGAAAAGCAGTGCTTTTGCCCTCTTGGTCCGCGTTACAACCTTCGTGGCCTTTAACTTAAAATTCCTGACAGTCACACCTGCAAGTTTTAACTTTGTATTCCAAATGTTCGCAAATGAAACAAGACTGGAGAAAGTATGGGAGTGAAGGTTTTTCTTTACTTACTAGTTTGAGTAGCTTTCCCTCCCTTTTAATGATGGGAACAGCAAAATGGCAACCATTTTAAAAGCTTATTAAAAATAATTTTAATAGGGTTCACCTTTTTAGCAGTAGGCCAGCATTCATCTCGTGCTCAATCCATCAGCACGGCAAAGTCATTCTAATGATTTTTGCACTACTTCGTGATGCGGAGACCTCATAATTTTATACATTTTAATATAAATCCATAACTTAATTTAAAGTTATTAAAGTTATTACAATCAAAAAGCTTTCTGGAATGTGAAAGTGTTCTTATCATCCTTTCAATTGTGGCATATTAAAGAGGAATTCAGTTCAATGACATTGTTCTCATAATCCATTACAAACAGCGACAGCCTCAGAGACCAATAGCAGAGCTTAGCAAGGATTGGATTTTTCATTAAACTTTGGTGTGTTTAAAAACTCATCAACTCTGGTACCTCCAGAAAGTGAAGAAGCTTCGAGCTTTCCCTCTGCCACTGCTGTTTCTAGCAATTTCCTCAAAAAGTCAGCATTTTAAATTAGCATTATTAAAATCACCTGCTAATATTTGACAGAGCTGAAAGTACCACAAATTTTCATAAGATAAACCTTACAACGCTCTGGGGATTTTTGAAACAATAGCCTCTTTTCTTTGAAACAATACGCCCCTTTCAACACCTACACATCAGCATGACAGTCAAAAGCTTTACCTCAAGGTCACAGAAGGTCATCGGTGGCAGAGGCAGGACTAATTAACTTGCTCATCTAACTTCTAGCCTTGGCTCCTCTCTCCCTTTAATAAAGCTGCTAGTTTCTCTCCGCACCAATCACATAATTATTCTGTTAACTAGTGCTAAGTGCTGCAAGCTTTAAATCAAATCTTGATTTGAATTATTCATAGAGCAAAGCATGCGCAGGTATCAACAGCTGTTTTCTATAGGATAAGAATCTGATTACCAAAAAAGAGACAGATTGAAGCACATTCCCTGACTCCGAAAAACCACATTATGCTGCAATTAGGTATTTGCAAAGTGAGATCTTCCCGAGGAAGACTCCAGCCCAAAACAAGCAAACAGGAACATGCTTCGCTTCTAATCTGTTATCACAAAAATAAGGATCCGCTTAGAAGACAACGTATGCGAAGGGAGCCTGCTGTAATGCAGAAATGGGAGCACACCTCCTGCTTGCCTTTGTCTCCTAGACAGAAATTGTTGGGCATGGGCAAAGGAAAACGAACATTTGGGGATCCTTTCCCAAATTAACCAACTTTCTCTATTTTGGACCTTTCCACTGGTGTCTTGAAGAGATGAAAATGACTTTCGGGGTGGTTTTTCAAATACGGAACACTGCAGAAATGCCAGCTATCATCACTAACGACAGTCTCTACTGACAAAAAAAAAAAGCAGCTTGACTTAAGTGGCACTGACAGGCGATGGCGGCCCACAGAGACTTCAGGCTGGCGAAGGGTCCTGTCTGGGGTGATGCTACATACAGAATCTGATGAGAAGAGATCATACATCTTCCCAAGAAAAACAGGATCCAAACTTCTCATTGGATCTGCTTCTGCCTTGTGTTTTCTTCTTACT